GTCTTTAGTTTGCTTGTACAAAAAACGTACCGGCAAACCTAGGTGTATGACTATACCATATGTGCAAGCCCACAGACTCGGGAACAAACAGGACAGTCTGGTTTGATTCACATAGAAGCCTCAGAAGCTGATGGAAAACGGAGTTAGGTGACCACATTTCTCAAAGCCTGACCTGGTTTAAAAGTAGTGCTGAAATCCATGCCATCTGTTTCACAGAATCCTACCAAATTAAGCATGAGAAATTCCACACCTGTAAGTTTATGGTTTTAGAGGACCTGACCTGGTTTAAAAGTAGTGCTGAAATCCATGCCATCTGTTTCACAGAATCCTACCAAATTAAGCGTATGTGAGAAATTCCACACCTGTAAATTTATGGGTTTAGAGGAGCAGAGCTAAAGGGTGGAGTATTAGAGCTGGACTGCTCTTTCCTACTGCACAGGAAGATTTTTATCACTAGATCAGCAGTGACGCTTTGGCCTGCCTCCAGCTGCATATTTCCACAGCAACCTCGTTGGACTCAGGAAAAGCTTCGAGCTTCCTGAATGCAGAGGCACTGAGTAAGGGCCCCTCTGCAGATCCCTCTTCCATGTCCAAACAGCCAAACTTAACTAGTTTCAGCTGACACTGTCCTCCCTCCGTATGAGCAGACACTGGTTCCATAGCACAAAGGTACCAGAGCAAATTCTGATGGGAAGAAGAAAACATCATGGCAAAAAAATTTCAAATGGATAAGGTACATGCTACAGTTGTTCCTAATGATCCTGCTCTGTTTGGCAATAATTTATGTTTCAGTAAAATAGTGCCGAAATAAAAGAAAATAACTTTAAACTGATATTAATCATTATATGTTCACCTTATGTGCAAAGTAAAGACGTTAATTAATTGCATTTCAAAGTTTTCCTTGTTCTAAACCCCTTTATTTTACCACTAGGAGCTGAGATTTATTTTCTGCTTCTCTTTGCCCCCTGCCACCGGCTTCCCACAGAGAATGTGCATCTTTTACCAATGAAGATTAAACAGAGAGACATAAATCCAGCAAAATTTGACATGCAAGTGAAAGAGGGAATATAAACAAATTATAGAATCAACCTGCTCACAGAGAATGATGGATTTGAATTCCTCTATTTAACTTGCAAAAGGAAGGGGAAAATTTCCAACTGTTTTAAAAACTAGAGGCATATTGGTTCCAGCTGCCATTAATTCTCCTTTTCTGTAGTAAGGCCATCAAGCAGGATAAAACAATACAGTATTTCGACACTGGATACTGAACAGCTGCACCCCATTTTCAAAGGCAACAAAGTATAGCAGCATAGTCAAGCTGCGTCAAGAATTGGGGATGAGGATCAAATTTTAAGTTTCTGGGCAGCCTGCACGACAGTGCTTCTGAGAACAGAACAACAGTACAAATATTTGGTTTTGCTCATATTTGTTTTCTAGTAGACCTTGAAGCCATGCAATTTCGTCTCTATATGCTCCCTGGCTCCTTGATGCCCAGAGTGGCACCCTGAAGCCCTCCTCTGACACTGGCATTGGGCAATCACCTGCATAACACCTGAAAAAACCTGCAGTTAAAGTTTCTGGTCTCGTATAGAAGCTATTCATAAAAGATTCCCAGAATTTTGCAGTTTTAGGTAGAACGGCACGGAAAACCACAGATTTTCTAGGCACGTATAAGAATAGACTACACTACTGGCCCAGACCAAAGATTCCCCTAACCCCATATCTTGCTACGCTACATAGAAAGCCTCCTCCAAAGGAGCAAGTAAATGATGATACTGCTCCTCATAGAGCCTTCAAGCTTCCTTGTGTCCACAGCTCAAGGACTTTCCAAGCTAGAAAAAGTTTCTCTTCAGCTCCCCTGAAGAGGCTACGCCTTGAACACAAGCACCACATAATCTGTATGCACGCAGAAAACAGGAGTTCCTAGTGTATCGGGATTTTGTCACTCAGGGAGAACCATGCACCACATCCATGATCAGTTTGATGGCACCGGGAAAGACAGATGCACTGTGTTCCTATGATAACCGATAGGCAGGCACAGACTAGTCATGCATTGCTAGACATCCAAAAGCAAAATGAAATCCTGTTGCTTTAAGTGGTCTGCCAGAAGTCAAAAAAATCTTGGGAAATGTTCAAATTCAAGTACAAGGCAATATGTCCAAGTGATTAAACAGCACACGGAAAACACTTTTTGCACACACACACATCTATATACATTGCATATACACACCAGACTGATGGTAACCCTTCTAGCTGTGTGCAGAAGATGTACACTTCAATAAAAAAGTCCAACTTAATTTTTTAATTTAAACTCAAATCCTGTCTGTATAACTTTGGAGAAAGAGACTCCATTGCTTTAAATATTCAGAACTAACTTTTGTAGTAAACATATTAAGAGCAAACCATGTAATTTGAAGCAGGCTGTGAAAGGGTGTTCTTAAAAATATTTTGGAGAACTCCAGAAAGACTTCCCTTTTGTAAGGTTACTTAACAAGGCACCAGTAAGGTTATGACTTAACTCTCTCAAATACAAAACAACTGCATCAAATGTACTTTTAGTTTATTAGGGAACCGTCAGAGAGAAACATAGTTAGGGTATCAGAGCTGAATTTTCCATTAATCACATTTTCTCTTTGGCTAGGCAGCCAAAGGTTGGATTCACAGTGTATTCAGATTTCTGGCTCCATACCCTGCACAGCGGTTAGTGGACTGAATTCATTCATTAGGCCGTTCAGCTGTCATCAATCACTCCTCAGGTTTCACTCTCTGCCCCACAATAAAAATCAGACCAACCCTCCTACTGAACTCAAGGTCAGTTTTTTCATGCGTTCTGGCACACATCTGACCAGTAGTTCAGAGGCACACACCTGAACTGTCAGTAACTACAGAGCACACAACCAAAAAATGCTGAGGCAAGGACAGTACCATCAACAAGACTGGAAAAAGAACTGTTTAAAGACATTATTCTTTAAACTGTTCACCCCCATTAGTTTTCAGATGAATCCCTATTTGGTAGTACCTTCAGCTGATGTTACCTCCATGCTTGCTGTCTGCTCCCTTCAGAATGATTAGCTTTTATAGGTACACAATATAGGATGCACCTCAGTCTTTCAAAAACTTACTTCTAGTGGACTCATGTATCAAACAGGGTTCTTTGACACAGCCTTTCAGGCCTGATGTTCTCCCACTTACGCAGTAAATGTATTATTAAATGTCCTGGGAGCTGACAACAAGCAGTCCAGGCAGAAAATGCAGGTTTTTCTGGTCCTAAAGGCAATGTTAATATTTTTGCCCCTTGGTGTTCTGCAGCTGAAGTTTTGTGGTCTTTTTGTTTGTTTGTTTTTTTTTTTTTTGTTTTCCTTTTTTTTCCAGCAAAGATGTCATCTGCATTCCACAAACACAAAAGGTCCAGTTTCCTTGTGCTAGGAATGAAGTTCCACAGTTTGGCAGCTCTAGAGACCACTCTGCTGTTATGTGTGGTCCCCATCTTCACCTTTCACAACCTCAGACACCCACAGAACCAAGTTGTCAGCCTGATCCACACACAAGTTGAAATCAAATAATTTTTTCTGGGAGACGTCTCAGACAGGATGACATTTGCCCGAGGCTCAACTTTACAGCAACAGATGATTGGCTAATGCCAAGTGCGAAACCGTATCTCAGGCGAACTACCCAAAACCACACTGCAAGAAAGAAAACATGACCTGCAGCCAGTGTATGCACTCACCTCATCTCACACTCAGTTCTGAGCTGCAGTCTCCAGTTTCCTAAAGGAAGCTGCATCCCAGCTGGTAATTTGCTAATCCATCTGCTAATGAGACACTTGAGTCCAAGCCCTTCACTACCCTCACAACAGTCAGAAATCACAATATGCATCTCACACTCAGACCAAACAACAACCTCTACCAATTTAATACAGACTAGCTTCATTGTCCACAAATTACTATGCTGCAAAATACAGATTAACTCTTCATACAACTATTCTAACATCTCCTCGTGAGGCTTTTACCTGAGTAAAAGATTTGTCTTTTATTTGGCACACAGTAAAAACAAGAGAGTTTTCCACCATGGGGTGAAGAAAAAAGTTTGATGATGATAAAGAACTAAAACAATGATCACTTTTCCATGCTCACTGAATACTCAGGGTTCTCTGCAGAAATAAATTCACTTAAAGCGTGTAAAAACCAGGTTAAGCTGTATTGATCCAATTCTCTGTGAGGCCAAATTCAGGATCTAATGGCTACATCTTACACTGCTGACCCAAAAGTCTTTTAAAAACATGATTTTTTTCCATCTAGAAAGTGTTCAAGAGGTGACAGATATACAAAACATTTGACTTTTCCTACAGTGTTCATGCAGATTCTTTTCTTCTGGAGCTCACAGGCCAGTTATTTTGGTATTTACTACAAACATCACAGATATGGAGTCATTAAAAATTCCATTCAATCCACATTCTGAACTTAGTGATCACCCACCAATGGTGATCACATCCAACAGACAACTTTGAATTGCTAGTGTGCGATCTTCACACCATCCAAAAATCCTCACAGGATCCTTCACCGAACATTTCAACAGTTCAACAAGCAAAACAGAAAATCACAACCACCCTCATCCTTAAGCTCCACCGTGACATGATGAAGTATCCTACTGTGCATCACTTGGACAGATGCTTCATCATCCTTCTGCAGGATCCATGAATGGCTACAATTTCTGACAACCAAATCACTTTCACGTTATTTACTTAAGTATCTTTATGTATATATGTATCTATCTATAGGAACGCACGGGGGGTGCGTGCTTGTGCCTACGTTTAAGTAAGTAATTCTAAATTAAGTCTAAATTCTTAACTTTCAAACTAGCTGACTGCTGTAGTAGCTCTTGCACAGGGAACACACACGTGCTGCTCCATAGCTGGACTGTACCTGAGCACACCTCCTTTTTCCCCAGGATGACTACAGTGATTTTGACATAGCTGACAGAGCTTGTGGTATTGCACTTACCCTGGGTGGGACAGTCTGCAGGGCTGTGATATAGTTCTCCAGAGCAATGCGGCGACGGTCATTCAGCATGGCTTCCACCCGTGCCATATGAGTCTCCACCAGCTGCTGTCTTTCATTTGCTGCTTCTTGTTCCAGGGATTCCACTTTCTCCTGGAAATGCTGAAAAAAACATCCATCACAACAGGAACAGTGTAGACATCAGCAGAGACCAGCAGCCGTGAACACCTCCATCTGCAGATCACCAAAATCTTTTCCCATGTCAGTCTAGTTCAGCTCCCAGGAACTCTGCACTGAACACACCTTTTACTGATTTCAGTGGGAACTGTTGATGCCCTGTATATCTGAACAACTGGCCACAATTCATTAATCTAATCAAATATTCCGCACAACCACCAGTGAATCCTTCATTTGCCCCAAGACACTGGTTCAGCACTAGAGAATTGTGCCTAGAGGAGGGTGGAGTTTGGCAAGCATCCACTCCCTGCCATCATGAGTCGCCAACATGTCTTCATGAGCAAATCTTTTCTTTGGGGGTGGGGGGAATTCTAACTTGAACAGAGGCACTAGAATTTCTTATAAACTGGCCACCATGAAGAAAAGTCAAGCCCAAATTCATTCCAATAAAGGAAAAGAGTGACTGGGTAAAATGCACATAGAGTAAAGCTGTGGGATCTAATGTGCAATGCAATCTGGCTCTGGATGTTCCCTTTTTAGAGTTTTGCACTGAAATCATGCTAGCAGTACTGAATAATATCTGACATAGCCACAGCGGGATTCTAGGAGTGTCTGGCTTGTCAGGATTTTTGAATCATAGTCTAATTGTGGATAAAAGGATTTTTTGCTGAGGGTTTATTTCAGATAAAACTGATGGCGATTTCTTCCTTAAATCACATTTTCCATCTCTGCTTTGAGCTTAGGTTCTGCAGCTTATATCAGTTCATCACAGCCCAAGTTTTGAAAGGGGCCTGTGGAAACCGAGTTTTCAGTTCTCACTGAAGGCAAATCAATTCAAGTGAAATTCTACCCCTCCGTGCAGTCATGAGTGATGTCCCACTGCTGTTCCAGGGACTGTCCGCAAAGTACGGAGACGTCCAGCAGCCACTAACAGCTGGAAATAAAAATAGCAGCAGCAAGAGTGAAGAATAACATTAAATCCCCATAGAAGTAGATGTTAAACTTCTATCACACTCAGCACCCCTTGTATTTTAACTGCGGCCCTAGTGGGTAAGGTTGTGGTTGCGTTTTCTTTTACCTGGATGACAGCTTTCTTGTCAGCCTTTGGCAAGTTCTTTGCTTGGCGTTCTGCCTCTTCCCACTCTCTCATGACCTAATGAACATAACAAGGAGCGTGACTTTCCCCTTTTCCTCCATTGTCTCAGGGCTTAGCAACAGCCAAGCACTGCAGCTGACAGTCATCTTTTTACATTCCTCTCCTCCTTTTATCTCTATTAAAAAAGCAGTTACAACATTTAACAAAGGTAGGATCCTGTTATTAAATTAAACAAAGACAGTACTTCTGTGTCTGAACATCGTGCCAAGCTCTCACAACTCCGTTGTGAAGCAACACAGCCGTTAACCAGCCCTCAAGCGAGGGAAGTGGAGGTCTCTCTGGGTGAACACACCAACCCCTTTTCATCTCAGACAGAAAGGAAACAGCTTCCCTCTATTGTATGTCCTTGATCAAAATGAGTGAACTTCAACTTGTTCTAATTGACACTTCTTTGGTACCACAAAAATTTTTAGATTTATTTGGACCGCATTTCTGGCTTTTGAGTAGGACAGATCAAGAATTACACGCAATTTGTGCTAGTCTGTCCACAAATAGGTGTCTGACACTTCAAAAATTTATATCTCAAGTAAAACGCTGACAGAAAAATGATGTAGAAGAACTTTCAGTTCCATTCCTTTCAGTAACATGAGAGACCACCTCCTCCTGTAACACAGGGCAGTATTTCAATAGTCAGGGAGTGAGCTACTCTTAACTTGCTGCCCATGACATCTGAAACCTTCTCATGGTCCTACTTACAGGGACTTTACTCATTTCACACCTAGATAACAATCTCCTCAGATAACACATTTTATGCAGGAACAATTGCTCTCACCAATGCAGTGCACACAAATAAGTCACTTATTTACCACATTGGCACACTGTCAGAAGACGAGTGAAGAAACCTAGAAGTAACTATTCAAAATGTGCATTTCCTTTCTCACCAAAAAACCACACTTCACACTGTCATACCATTTAATAGAAATAGTCAAACATACCCTTTCTAAAGGGGATTTTAGAAAAGCTCAGAGTCTGCATGCATAACTGAAATTTTACTGAGACCAATACCAAAGGCAAGAGAAATTAGACCTCCTGCGTCTCACAACTGCAAATTGAGCCTCCACCACTCAGGGCCCATTCTCAGGCTCCCCAGTTTTGCCACATGCTGGGGACGTTGTTAACCAGGTCCCTTGATGGACAGATTGGAGACCACTGGTGGTGCCTCAGAGTATCTGGTTGAGCCTGTGCCTTTAAAAATAAAACAAACCCAAACCAAACCTGAGCTTAAAGGAGACTTTTACAAGTCCCAGTCCTTGAAATGTAATCCCTTCTCAATCCTGCGTAGGGTTGTAGACCCTAACAATTGACCAGCATGTACTCAAGACTGACTCAACGTATGGGATTTGGTTGTCAACTTTTCATCTTCCTTTTGACACAAAGCCTGGGAATGTATTTCAGGAGAGCAACCAATCAGTCACAGTAAAAAAAGGGTCAACTCACTATCAGTGAAATTATTTATCTGTAAGAGATTTTAGCCTCAATAACAACCTGAGAGTGGCGACGTATTTTGGGAAGCTAATGTGATGCTGAAAACTTTAAAGTGGGAACTGGTTTTGTCTGCTTCTAGGCTTCAGTAGGGGCAGGAACAGACAGCAGTTGTAAGCACAAAGACCTGAAGTCAAGTACTTCGAAATCACAGTCGTAACTTCACTCTGCTGTTTACTGGGAACTCTAAGCTCAACCTTAAATCCCTAGAGTTGTACTTACAACATACATAACCTCGCAGCCTAAAAGTACCTCTTCAGTTTACATTATCTACTCATCAGACAAACACGCATTCATGTACAAGTTGCAGCCAAGCTCTAGGGAAGCAGGAAACCAAAATTTACAAGGAGACATGAAATTACTTGCAAGGGGCTGTAGTAAGCAGATGATGACAGAGAACACGATGCTCAGTGCACTGAAGTTCCAAGTCGCCCCACCACCAGTTACTTTCTCAGTACTTTGGCACAGGAGATTTTACTACTTCTCTGACAAAGCAGGACTAGAGGACATAATCTGACACCACAATTTAGAGCACCATGATGTGTTCTCGAAAAAAATTATTAATGCTCAGAGTGCTGCTGTGTATTAAGGGCACATTAGGTATTCATCTCTTAATTGTACGCTTAGGCCATATGATTGTGGTGGCTGAGAAAGCTTAATTCATGTATACAGGCAGCACACCTTTCTAGAGACCTGAAATGTCACTGGTGCCAGGATGTGAACATTACAGAAGACCCAGAAATTATGACATTAATTCAAGACCCAGAAATTATGACATTAATTCAAGTCATAAACTACAATGATGTGCTCAAGCTTGAGCATTGGCCTAGGTTAGCAACTTTATGATTTTCTTCTCCCTCTTCTCCTTTTATGTCTTCAAATCACATCTCTGACATCTGCTTAATACTCTTTTTCACTCTGAATGAACAGTTGTTGCGGTTTCAGAACAACCATTCCCTTACCATCTTTATACCCCAAACTAACCCTCTGCTAATCCATAAGATGAAAACAGATATTGTGGGTAATGTGATAAGGAGACCTTTGGCTAGACCAGGTCTCCCTACCAGTTTTATTTCTCTAAACCTTTCAAGGCATGGAAGGCAGGATGATAAACTGGCAGCCTACACAGCTACTTGGGAGGGATGTAAATTACAGGCTTCGGAGTTCAGCTCTGGTGCAATGACAGTGAATGGCTTGCGAAAAAATACAGAATGACATGGCTGTTTCCAGAAACAATATTCAACGTAAAGACTGCAGAAGCTGTGCTTCGAGTACTGATTTTTGCAACTGAGAAGACTTCAGTGGTTGAAAGCATCTGTGTGTGCACTAACTAAAGATACAGCTGCGCCACAGCTATCTATGGGTGGTCATGCTACCACCCAGAGAAAACTTCTGCTCTCACCAAAGGTCATCACTTTAGAGAATTATGACTAAGAAATATGCTATAGCATGCTGTAGGAAACCAAAGATCAAGAAGGGAAGAAAAAATTCTCCAGATATGAATGTGCAGAAAGAGGTTGAACTTGGCATCTGTGCATTTATAAATCTATTCTCCTTCATTGACAGCACAGACCTATCAAAGCCACACAGATTAATGGCTCTTCAAGGCTTGGTGGCTTTGTGCAGGGAACGTGACAACTTCTGGTTGAGATTTAAGAAGCAAGCCATTTCAAAATTGAACTTCTTCACAACTCAGGACTTAGTGCCTGGCAGTCTACTTTTGAAATAGTGCTGTAGGCGACAGCAAGAGGGATAAGATGTACAGAAGGTGTCACTCATTATTAAGAGAGATAGTAAGCACAAAAATCTCATTATATTGAAAACAGCAGAATTTACTCCCATTTTTTTACAGTGGGGCACAGAAGTATATCTGCAAGAGATGAAATTATGACAGACATTTGGGATACAGCAATCAGTCCAGCAGAGGTGCTTGCCTGAAGGTCTGCATGCCAATAAGAAGCCTACCTTTGTCAAGGACTTTTGCTCCACACCTAAGTCTTGACTCTTCTTCTGGAAGTAATATCATCAAACCTCACCAAAGAGCCCTGAGCATAACTGTGGGTGATATTCCTACCAAGACGACAGTTTTAGGGAAGGAAAGAGCCCTCCCACACACAATAATAGAGATGGTGGGACCTAGGGAATACAGGAACCAGTATTATTTAACATCTTTGTTGAGGACAAGGACAGTGGGATTGAGTGCAAGTTTGCCAACGATACCAAGCTGTGTGGTGTGGTCAACATGCTGGAGGGAAGGGATGCCATCCAGAGGGACCTTGACAGGCTTGCGAGGTGGGCCTGCGCAAACCTCATGAAGTTCAACAAGGCCAAGTACAAGGTCCTGCACATGGGTCAGGGCAATCACAAACATTGATACAGCCTAGGCAATGAGTGAACTGAAAGCAGCCCTGCAGAGAAGGACTTGGGGATACTGGTGGATGAAAAACTGAACATGAGCAGGCAATGTATGCTCACAGCCCAGAAAGCCAACCACATCCTGGGCTGCATCAAAAGTATTAGTAGCAGATCAAAGGAGGCAATTCTCCCCCTCTACTTTGCTCTTGTGAGACCCCACCTGCAGTACTGCATCGAGCTCTAGAGTCCTCAGCACAGGAAAGACATGGACCTGTTGGAGCGAGTCCAGAGGAGGGCCACAAAGATGATCAGAGGGCTGGAGTTCCTCCCATACTAGGACAGGCTGAGGGAGTTGGGCTTGTTCCTCCTGGAGAAGAGAAGGCTCCGGGAAGACCTTATAGAAGCCTTCCAGTATTTAAAGGGTGCCTACAGGAGGGATGGGGAGGCACTCTTGATCAGGGACTGCAGTGATAGGATGAGGGGCAATGGTTTTAAGCTAAAAGAGCGTAGATTTAGGTACAATAATTCTTCAGTGGTATTGAGCCTGAGTTGGGTGATTAAACTGTTACACAAACAACTAGGTTGGCAAAACCTTAGGCCAGGCTGGATGAGGTTTTGAGTGGCCTGGTCTAGTGGGATGTGTCCCTGCCCATGGCAGGCGGGCTAGAACTCGATGATCTTTAAGGTTGCTTCCAACCCAAACCATTTATTGTGCCACTGGCTCTAAAAAACAGTTGAAGACTTCTCCAGAATGTTGGAACTAGTGGCATGCAATGATCCAAAAAAAGTCTTGAACATAACACCAGCCCTATTCAGGCTTGTTGAGGACTGCGGTATTTTCAGATACTTGCTTTGGAAATGAACTTCCAAGAGGCAAGACTATTCTAGGAGACAAGGTATCATTAAGTTCCTATCATAAGTACTGTACGTGCTACGATTCCTAAAATATTGTAAGCAGCCAGAGGAAGAGTAAATTTAAGACACGAGGATGTCACAAGATGTTTGAGGTGAGAAATGTTTAAATATACTTCTCCCTTGAGTAAGGTTCAATATCTGGTTCCACCAGGTTATTTACAGTAGCTATTTAAGTGAAGGAGCTGTACAGGAGTTAACAAACTGGAAAGAGAATGAGGAAAAGGGGAATTGCACCGAAACAGGAAACGGGAACTTGCATCTTGCAATCAGTTGGCATAATGTCTCCCTGTTATACGTCAGAGAATAGCGAACATTTAAAGGTTACACATGCATCACTAAATAGCTATCCTGTTTGCATGGGAATGTAGCTTTACTGTTATTTGGATTTGCATTAATAATTCTCGGGAAAAGCTTAAAATTGTATGATAATGTAACTCTCTTTTTACAGTAGTGCCTAGCAAAGTTCATAAGCCTTGTTGCTCCAGATGCTGTGCAAGACGTAAAGACAGAAAAACTTCCGTGGTCTGTAGTCTAAAGGGACGGACACTTAAGAGGACAAGGGATTAAAATAGTCTGAACTAGAGGTGCATCAGATCATCATACTAAGGAGCACAGACTCCTTAACAAGAGTGTCTTTTATGAACTACGAACCACCACAACACTGACAGAAGCTAGGTCTCTGCCTGTGTGAATATCTTTATGCAAGAGAAAAAGAAACACGAGCTGTCAGAATTTCATGGCAAACAAAGGGAAATCTCAGAAAGAGGATATACAGAATATCTGCATTTGCCCTGATGTTTTGATTAAAATATGTCATTTCCATTTATTTTTTTTAATGATAAACTTCCCTACTCCCTAGATGACTACATTTTATATGCAAATGAGAAGGCATCTGATTTTTTTATTAATCAGCTGTTGCAAAGTAAAGTGTGCATCAAATCAAATACTGTTTTAAAACTAGCTGCTTTATTAAATAGAAATATCTGTATTTTGTGAATAAACCAATTTATTTCAGTTTATGACATTTATCAAGATTAAAGAATGATTTAATAATTTCCTCTCTTTTTAACAGAAGAAGAATGGGCATTTCTGCTGCTTTATAAGCCCTCATTTCTCAGCTTTGAAAGAACTGGACTTTGAGCAAAAAAAAAAAACCCAAATGTAGTCAGTGCAGCTGGAGGACTCTCACTTAACTTTTTTTTTTTTTTAAGAAAAAAACTGACACCAAAAATTGAGTTAATTTACTCAGCATTGTTTTCAACATAACAAATAACAGCTTCAAATTAATTTTGAGTTAAATATGTATTAAGAACACACCTGATTTTAAAGAATATATAAAAAGCAATTTTTAAATAAATTACCAGAAAATTAGACCAGTGGTCTCACAGACGTATCACAGTTCATGTGATGAAACACAGAGTGGTACACTAGCTGGCTTTTCTACTTCTCCATAAGATCTTACATTTTTTTAAACATTTGAAATGTTAACTGGGAGAGGCTAGTTCAATACTGTACAAAACACTACTCATAGAAGGGAAAAGTAACTTTCAAAAACTTAACTCTCTTCTTCAAAGCTCTGCAGGGGTTCTGTGTACTTTGAGACACACGTTTTTTAAGCTGAGAATTCACAAGCAGCTTAAGCAAATTAAAGATCAAAGATCTTTCTTTCTCAGTGTACCCATCGTGCTGATGTTTCTCAGGTCTGAGTTAGCTTGCTGAACTGGCCAGAGTTGGTTATTTTTCTTTTTTTTGCTGGAAGACTGACATCGCAGTGAGATGAGGGAGCTGACCTGCCTCACCCCGCAGCTGTACGCTCATTAGTGCTGACAGAAAGGATGTCTGGGACCGTGCTAACAAGGGCAGAACACGTGCAGCACCAGTGTGATCCTCCGTCAAACCCTTGAACCACAGCCTTCGTTTATGAGGTTGCCCCAAACGCGCATGGTAAAATGTGCAGCACATTTACCCAGAAGTTTTCTGATGCTATGGCTCAGTGCTTTTCCCAGTTAACTTTGTTGGCCTCAAGCACCAACAATGTACAGTCTCTCTGCATGTCGTTTTCTAGGTGCCTGTGCATTCGATTAGCTATTTTCCACAAACCATGAGCTTTGCAGAAAATAGAAAATACACAGTTCACCAAAATACTGCCCTTAATTACTCAGCTTAACCTTTACATATTTAGATTTTAGAGACAAACCTGAAACCACAGGGAATCTGAGGACTGTCTAAAGGGAAACCTGCGTTTCACACTCTGTCCTTCACTTTGAAGACACACAGATCTACAGTGTTTTTTTTAAAAAAGGCTATTTCAAGGGGAAGTAATAATGGGGTGATGACTGCATTACCCGCCGACTCTCTGCGTGCCTGGCCAGGGCATGATCTCTCTCCTCCACCAGGCAGCCTGCGTGCGCAACATTTTTCATCATCCCAATTCCCAGCCCATCCTTCCCAAACTGAGTACTGCACCATCACAGAAATTTGTTACGGAGAGGACTGGGATGAACTGCTCCCTCAGTGGGAACACAGCACACGAGCCATTGCTCACCTCCCCCTGGACTCACCTCACGGCTGCTGACCAGCCCCAAGCTGGGTGCTGCTCGCACCCACGCTCAGCAGCACTTGCACTGCCGCCCTCATAGCCACCGGTCGTTATAATTAAGTTGTTTAGTCTTCCAGAGCAAAGGAGATTACAACACGAGGAAAAGCATTAAACTAGGACTGTTTTCTCTATTTAAGAAGGAGGTAGCTTGTTCGGGCTACAATGCTTCCCACACAGAGGCAGGTAAGTATCTTCCTGTCTATTAAGTGTCATATTCATGGCATATGGTTTGCACTGATCAGGTGACTGCTTCATGTAAGATGCTCTGCTCTATTTATTAGAAAAGTGCCAGGCATAGCTACAGTGCCAGTAGATGGAGACTTACTCTAAGAGCTTAATTTCAGGCCTGCTCAAACATTTGAGCCCAGAGCTGAAGGTTAATGTGTCAGTAAAACACAGAAATACTGAAAAGCAACAGGGGAACAAAATTACAAGGAAAAGTTATAGTAAAACATCTACACAGATAAGCGCAGTGCATCTGAACTGTACCACATTCACTTTTGTGGTTGTTCCATCCTCAAAAACATATGCATCAGAAGCTTTCCTTTAAACCTCTCATATTTTTCCTTTGTTGTTATCAGAGCAGAACTGTGACAATTTTTTATTGGCATTGCTATTATAACCCCTATTTCTGAGAGAGTGGACAGCTCATCTCTTAGTGTTTAATAGGATTAAAAACAGCGTACAGATTCAGGCTGCACAAATCTTTTTGGTTAAAGGAAAAAAATGGTTGATGCAGTTGGATTTTTGTTCAGTTCAAAGGCACTTATTTCTCCTCTTTTCTTCAGCTTTAGATGCATTTCATGTTACCTCGAGGCTCAAGATCACTAGATGAACATATGCGAGGTTATGTTACCCCAGGGCATGGCCATCTACGGGTACACAGGGAGAATGAAGCTCACCAGAAGCAGCCTCCCTCAGCTGCTACAAAGGAAGGATGACTAACACAGTGGTCAAGTTCTTTACTTAGAAATAAAAATAATCTCACAAATCAAACATTCTTCCACAAAGATGAGAGCAATTTTTAACAAACTTTTTTTTTTCCTTTTTACAAGCAAAAGTAACTGTAGCAACTTACAGCTGTGACCCAACCAAAAATGTATGTCCCTGCAAGCCGAATACTTAGATAGTCAGAAAGGCAGTAAATGGTGTATTTACAACATCACAAATAGGCAGGGCAGCTGGCTGAAGCCTTGGGAAATAAGAATACGAAGGACTCCGAGCATCTTGTGCCTTAACAGACAAAACTCTCACATTTAGGAATAAAGACATCTCCCCTTACCTGAGACATCCTTTCACGATGCTTAGCTTCAAGTCTCTCTTTGGCTTTCTGGAAATGGGCATGTTCATTCTCATCTCCAGGTGTCTCCAAATATTTGTCAACAGCATCAGGAGTGCTAGCAGCAGTAGTAGGGACTGAGGTAAAATGTTGAGGTGGGGGGGAGAGGGAAGGGAGAGGGAAGAAAAGCAGAATTTCTACGTTAGTACAGGTAAAATTTAGTTGGACCAAGCAAGAAACATCTGTTCTAATTTCCATCAGAATAAAGCCATTCATTTAACGTCAGAGGAGGATATAAAAATGTGGTTTAGGTGGATATATTATAAACAGAAACACATATAATTATTCTAGGATTTCCCCCCGCCCCATTTTATAAACCAGGAGAAACTCTTCACAGAGAAAAAAGCAATGTTATTCAAATGGGTTAGAAACTGCTGCCAAAGGAAAAATAAGCCTTGCAATGACTAAAGTACATAAAAAGGCAAGGTTACATGCTTTGTACATTAGTTTATTTTTAAAAGGTAAACTGTAATACACATGAGTGCCAACACAAATACATTTTAAAGCACCTATGGACCTCACAGTACCCTAATGAAATACCTCAAATCCTTCCCTTAGTGCCAGTTTGACCTCACAGATATTTACTTTAACAACTTTGATTAAGAAAACCCTCATGGATGCTGTAAATAATCAGCAAGCTTGCACTAATTGCT